ACTCTCTCTTACACATATGAGTTTCTGTGGGTTTGTTTCTCTAATGTACCCAGACTAACACACTTATTCACTTGTTTTGTGAGCTGCCCTCAGTTCTGCTGTTTGAATTGTCTGTTGTCCAGAAACCCTCTCACTTGCATTCAGTGGGTGGCCAGGCCCCCAGTGGACTCCAGGTCTGCCATTACTGCTGCAGCTACCATCAGCAACATCAACGGTTGGGATGTGTTTTGTGCCCCGGCCAAAGTGTGGTTCTCATCGGTCCCTGGAACTCATGTTGGATTTCCCACCAAGGCCAACATTTCTTTAGTCCCTGTGGTCTTCAGTTCCTCATCTAAGTTTTGTTTTGTTTTCTCTCCTTGAATAAACTTGTAATATTTTCCGGGTATGACACCTACTTCTTTTTGAAATGAAGTTTATTATTACTTTTAAATGCGTCTCAAACCAAAAACCATCCTCTAACTATTGTTAATGCCAAATATTTTTTCATGTATCATATAGTTGAGCAGTATGAATTTCAGGTAGCTGATGCATAGGAGCCACCACTGTATAATAAGCAAGAGTGACCCTCATTTTATTGCCACATAAGGAACACACACTATTTATAAAGTTTTCCTAAGGGAGATTGTTTACCCATTCTTTGGATTTGTTTATATAATAAAACATATTCATTATTATCTGACATTAATGGTTAAATATATTAACCATTTAAAAAAATAAAAAGTTAAATCCAACAGATAACTTAAAAAGTGTATTTTAAGGAGACTGGTGGCATTGCTACTTGTATGCTATTACCTTTAAGCTACTTGTATAGCACATAAGAAATAACACTTAAGATATGACAAAATAATGATTTATAAGTTATCCAAGGGTACATGAGGGAGAGGGGAGCTGGGAGGGAAGGGAAAAATGAGCTGATACCAAAGGCTCAAGTAGAAAGCAAATGTTTTGAGAATGATGAGGAAAACAAATGTGCTTGACACAATGGATGTATGTATGGATTGTGATAAGAGTTGTACGAGCCCCCAATAAAATGATTAAACAAAAAGAATACTTAGTGGTCACATATTTAAAAGAAGTGGCCAACAGCGCATCAATTTTAATTCTTATTCATGTTTACACCATCTTGAAGAAACAATGAGATAAACTCAAATTGAAAGCCTTCTGAAAATACCTGGCTGTGTTCTTCAAAATTTTCAGTGATATGAAGGCCAAGGAGGTGTTCCAGACTGAAGAGATAAGAGAAGTAGATGCAAGTAGGATCCTGGGTATACCTGGGCTGTAGGAGAGGGGTAGTGTATTTGTTCCCTGGATCTGCCATGACCAGTGACCATGAACTTGGCGGCCTGTATTCTCTCACAGTTCTCCTGGAAGTGTGAAATCATGGTATTGGCAGTATTTGTTTCTTCTGGAGACTCTGAGGGAGAACCCATTCCCTGCCTCTCTCCAAGCCTAGCTGCTGTGATCACCAGCAACCTTAGCGTTCGTAGGTTGGGGACCTTTTTTTTTTTTTTTAATTGGGAGCTCATACAACTCATCACAATCCATACATACGTCCATTGTGTCAAGCACATTTGCTGCCATCATCATTTTCTAAACATTTCTTAATACTTGAGCCCTTGGTCTCAGCTCCTCATCCCCCCCCCCTCCCTCCCTCCCTCCCTCATGAACCCTTGATAATTTATAAATTATTATTATTTTTCCATGTCTTGCACTGTCTGATGTCTCCCTTTACCCCCTTATCTGCTGTCCACCCCCCTGAGAGAGTGTTATAGATAGGTCATTGTGATCAGTTCCCCCTTTTTGCGCCTACCTTCCCCTTCCCCTCGTGGTATGGCTACTTCCAGTATTGGTCCTGAGAAGTATATCTGTCCTGGATTCCCTGTGTTTCCAGCTCTTGTCTGTACCCATGTACGCACTCTGGTCTAGCCAGATTTGTAAGATAGAATTAGGGTCATGATAGTGGGAGTGAGGAAGCATTAAAGAACCAGAGGAAAGGTGTATGTTTCGTCAGTGCTATACTGCACCCTGACTGGCCTGTCTTCTTCCCATGACCCTTCTGTAAGGGGATGTCCAATTGCCTACGGATTGGCTTTGGGCTTCCACTCCGCACTCACTGCCCATTCACATTGACATGAGTTTTTGTTCTGGGTCTTTGATGCCTGATACCTGATCCTGTCGACACCTCATGATCACATGCTTCTTCCATGTGGGCTTTGTTGCTTCTTAGCTAGATGGCTGCTTGTTTATCTTCAAGCCTTTAAGACCCCAGATGCTGTATCTTTTGATAGCTGGGCACCATGACCTTTCTTCACCACATTTGCTTATGCACCCATTTGTCTTCAGCAATTGTGTCAGGAAGGAGGTTGGGACCTTTTAACTCTAATTTTATAACTTCTTTGTCTTTTTGTCTTTTAAAAAAAATCATTTTATTAGGGGCGTTTTTTTCTTAAGAATTTTTAAACAAACTTTTTAAGTATAATATACATGTAAGGACATATACATATCTTATCTGAAGACTTCAGTGGATTACCAGAAAGTGGTGGACTATTGCTACATAAAGTGAACACATCCGTTCACCACCACCCAGACCGAGAAATAGACCATTTGTGCCCCTCACTTCTCCTTGCGTAGCCGTCAGAAATGAGGCCACTTGTTGAAGTTGCTCTATCATAAAGGGCAGGCCCAGTTGGTGCCTTTTCTACTACTCTTTAACATGAGCCCGAAAGGTGGACTAGTGCTTGTGAGGGGGAGAAAAGAGAGAGGGCTGGTTTCACAGTTCTGCTGGAACTTTAACTGGATGTCCACGAGGATGTCTGTGTGTCTGGGAAGAAGGCTATGTTTTTGTCAGTAACCCAAGAACGATCTTCTAGGAAACCCCTAGCTCTCTATCTGCCCCAGCCGCACATTTGTACACACACACACACACACACACACACACACACACAGACACACACTATGATGTACCTACCTGTAGCCTGATGCTTCCACAACCACTCTCAACTCCTGACCTCCCACGGAAGGTTGTTATGAACTCAGTGGAAGGAAGGATTTAAATTAAAAAAAAAAAAATCACTTTATTGGGGTATCATACAACTGTTACCACAAGCCATACATCCATCCATTGTGTCACGCACATTTGTACATTTGTTTCCATCATTGTTCTCAAAACATTTTCTTTCTACTTGAGCTCTTGGTATCAGGATTAAAAATTTTTTTAATTGTAAAAAATATGTATAATGAAACTTTTGCCAACTCAGTGTTTTTAACGTGTACAATTCAAGAACAATGGCTATGTTGTGCAGCCATTATTACTAGTTCCAACATTTTCTACCACCCTCGAAACAAACTCAGTGTCCCCTAAGCAATAACTCCTCTTTCTCCTTTCCTTCTGTGCGTAGTAACCACCAATAAACTTCTGTCTATGTACACTTACCTGTTCTCGACATTGCATGTAAGTGTAGTCAGACGGTTCTTGTCCTTCAGTAACTGGTGTATTTAGCACCGTGTCTTCAAGATTCATCGACGATGTAACATAGCAGAATGCCCTTTATCATTGTGGTTGAATGAGAACATTTTATCTGTTGATGGACATTGAAGTTATTTCTCTGTTTACTCTGAATTTTTTTGTTTTCTTTTGCATCTGATGTTTCAGATTTTTTTTGTGTACTGCATTCCTAATTTAAAAAATATACTCAGTATTAAAGAAGTTGGCAACTAATTTAGTTTTCTTGAGAGAAAGTTGACATAAAGGGGGTCTTTGAGTACAAAGACAAAGCTTTTCCCTCTCTCACTGATGGTCATAAAGTCAGATGTGGAAATTTGGTGATGTTAGACATGGTCATATAATTGGCAGCCATCGAAGAACTATGAAACCTGAACTCTAGTTTTTTTTTTTTTTAAATCCAGCACAGATTGCTCTCCCTGCCTGATCCTTAGCACCTTCAACAGACAAGTTGGGAATCTAGTGGTACTTGGTTTTTCAGGAGAAAGCCCTCCCTTTGAGTCAGGTAAAGGAGCCCCCAGCCGTGGTGGTACAGTGGTTACCCTTGGGCTGCTAACTGCAAGGTCAACAGTTGAAACTACAGAAAGAGGGCCTTTCTGCTCCCGTAAAGAGTTAGAATTTCAGAAACTCACAGGGGCTGTCCTACCTTTGAGTCAGAGAGACCCTTACCACCAGGCATGGGAAACCTGACTAGAATACATTCACATTGCTTCTGTTCTTCTCTGAACTCTTTCATCTTTGAATGGGAGGTAAATGGGGGATTAGTTGTCTTCCTGATTCCTGTAACATGTTCTTAGCTCTGAAGTCAAACCACTTTGACAACTTAGAGGAGATCTGAGAACTAGAAAAGGGTGAGAATGTTGGTTTCTGGGCATAAGTGATGATGGGCACCAGAGTTGTAGCAGTCAACAGTACTTTACTGTCTGCCCCTCATGTGCTAGGCAGTGTTGAATGTGGTGGTGGAGATATACCTAGCAGGGACACAACAGAGCCCTGTTCCCACTCCCTGCGTTGGTTGGTGTTCTGGGAACTCCAGGAAGTTTGTGTCTCACTAAATGTTTGCCCCCCTTTCCTCTTTTCTTTTCTGTAGGACAGAAGTGTAAGCTGAACAGACTCTGAGCGGTGGCTTTCAGCTCACAGGACATTCTACCTGGTTCTCCTTTTGTGGCTCATGTGCTGCATCCTCTGCCCTCAGTGTGCAACCGGCCCCCAACGCAATGTGTGTTTGTCAAACCATGGAAGTGGGGCAGTATGGCAAGAACGCAAGTCGGGCCGGAGACCGGGGAGTCCTCCTGGAGCCCTTCATCCACCAGGTGGGCGGACACAGCAGCATGATGCGCTACGATGACCACACTGTGTGCAAGCCCCTCATCTCCCGGGAGCAGCGCTTCTACGAGTCCCTCCCTCCCGAAATGAAGGAGTTCACCCCTGAGTACAAAGGTCAGTTGCTGGCCAGTTTGGTGAGAGGAGTAACCTTGAGCTTGTAGGCGCTGGGCTCAGTTTTTCTTTGGTTGGTCGTGGATGCGACTGTCAGTGCCTGTTGTCTCCACACAGCTAAGTTACATTGGTAAGCGGAAGCTTCAGCAAGGTCTTTAGGTTTGAAAATTGGATTCACTGATAGGTGGCCTGAGAAGAATCCACAGCGGTAAGTCTCATTGATGGGGAAGAACATGTCTGTACTCAAGCTTAGTTTCAGTTACCTGCTGTTTGTTTCTTTTGAAATCATTTATAAGAGTAATAATTTTTCATCATTACCATTTCAAGACATGGCTGTGCAAAAGTAAGGTGACCAGACGTCCCACTTTTGGTGGGACAGTCCCGATTTTTAACAATTTTTCCTGTGTCCTGTGGCGTTTTAAGAAAGTCCTCATTTTTGGAAAGAATGCATGACAAGCTAGGGTATACGGTTTTTGGCTGCCATGTGGCTATTTCACCAGGATACGAGTTTTATTAATGGTGTCCCGCGTTACCAATGTTAAAATCTGGTCACCTTATGCAAAAGAGGAAGGCCCTCAGGAGATGGATTCAAACACCAGAACTATCGTGAGCATGGGTAGGACCAGCAGCGTTTCATTCTGTTGCTCATAGGGTCACTATGGGTCACAACCAACTCAATGGCACCTAGCGACAGCAACATCCTGAGAGGGCTAAATGGTGTTACACCATTGTGATTTTAATTTGCATCTCCTTAATGGCTAGAAGGAGCCCTGGTAGCACAAGCTGCTCAGAGGGAGAAAGATGAGGCTATCTGCTCCCATGAAGATTTGTAGCCTTTGAAAATAATAAGAATCGGAATCAACTTGATCCCTGATGAATTTTCTTCTTTTTTAATGGCTGCTGGTGTTGAGTATTTTTCATGTGTTTTCATCATTTAAATATTCCCTATGGTGAAATATATGTCCAAGCAAAAAGATCAGCAAACCCTTGCCCCATTTTTTGGTCGTTTTGTTGTTATGTTGTAGACATTTTAATATATTTTGGATATTGGACCTTTATCAGATATGTTGTTAGTTGCTGTTTGGTGCAGATTCATAGCGACATTGTGTATGACACACTAAGTGTTGTCAGATCCGCGCCATCCTCCCCGTTGTCGCCCTGTTGGAAACAATGCTGCAGCTACTGTCAGTGCATCGCACTAAGGGTCTTGGTCTTTTTCTCTGACCCTCCTCTTTACCAAGCACGATGTCCTTCTTCAGTGAAATGTGTTCAAAGTGAGACAAATTTCCCCCCATCTTCGCTTCTAAGGAGCAGTTTGGATATACCTTTTTCAAGATTGATTTCTCTCTCCTTTTGGCAATCTTCAGCATATTGAAAATTCTTGGAATGGTGTCCCTCTCCTTTGGCTTTTCTTGTTCATCATGCAGCTTTCACCGTGGATGAGGCATTTGAAAAGACCATGACTTGGAAAAGGTGTACATTAGTCTTTCAAGTGACACTGCTGTTTTTCAGCAGTGTGATACGGCCGTTTGCAACTCAGTTGTGTGTGCCTTGTCATCTGATATTTCTATTGCTGTTTTCATGGGTTCTGATTGTTGATTCAAAAAGGATGAAGTCTTTGACAACTTCGCTATCCACAATGGTTTAGGTGGTGATGTTTGGCCTCGTTGTGGCAGTCCTCATTTTCTTCACATTCCGGTATCTGTACCTTCATCAGTACCATTTAAAATCATCTTTGTTTTTGACGATGAAGGTGGTCTTACTTGTGTACCACAAGCTATTAATGAATCTTCCTCCAATCCTGATGCCTCATTCTTCTACATATAATCCAGCTTCTCAGACCTATTTATTGGATATGTGGCTTCCAAAATTACACCACCACCCCTCAATCTGTAGGCTATCGCTTTACTTTGTTGATAATGTTCTTTGTTTAACAAAAGTGTTTCAGTTTTATGAGGTCTTATCTACTCTGTCATTTGCTGCTTGTCCTTTGCTGTCATATCGGACAGCCCATTGTTAAAAGCCAGGCCCCACAAATTGAGCTGCATCGTTTTCTTCTAAACTTTTTTATGGATTTAGTGATTACGTTTAGGGCCTTGATGCTGATTCTTTTGTGTATAAAGGTCCGATTTTCTTCGCACCATTTGTTGAAGAAACTCTTTCTTTGTCTTTTGAATGGACTTACCTAGCACCATGTCCACAATCTGTCTGTCAGTGTGTTGTACTTGGGGGCTAGAAGCGACGTCAGTGGTGTTTCATACACTGGCAGAGTCACAGACCATGAAGAAGGAATTGGCTGTTCACGTGTTCCGAGGAATTAGTGACTGAAAACGTTATAAACAGTAATGGAACATTATCAGATACAGAAAGCCCTCCCCCTATTAACTCATTTTGAAGACTACTTCCAAACTTTCCAAAACAGAGGACACATTCACAGGTACCAAAGTTAGGACTTAACCTATCATTTCGTGGAATACAATAAGTACAAAATATAAATGGAAGGTGGAAAACCTGGTGATTGAGCCCAGTGGGTTAAAGGTGATGGGGACTAAAGTAGTCCTGAAAGTGGAACGGAGGGAACACACACACAAAAGCAAAAAAACATTTGATGACTGCGCTGGCCATACTGAAATAGAATAAGTAAATGTTTGATTCTGACCTTTCTTTATCCCCTTCCTCCAATTCAGTATTATTCTATTCTGTTTTAAAAATAGCAGAACTTTCACCCAAATGTAACCTATGTATATTTAAGTTAGTTTTTCTTTTTAGATCACTTTATTGGCGGCTCGCACAACTCTTATCACAATCCATACAGCCATCCATTGTGTCAAGCACATTTGTTGCCCTCATCATTCTCAAAACATCTGCTTTCTACTTGAGCCCTTGGTATCAGCTCCTCATTTCCCCCCTCCCTTTCCGCGCCCCCCCCCATGAACCCTTGATAACTTATAAATTATTATTATTTTGTCATGTCTTACACTGTCCAATATCTCCCTTCACCCACTTTTCTGTTG